ACCAGAGAAGCAATTCAATCAATGGAGACATTTTCTAATTAGCATATTAATGATTTGTGAATGAAAGGTGATTCCAAAGTGCCCCAGGGAACTTGAAGACCTTGTAATTCTCTTTCTCAGTCTACATATCCAATGAAACATTTTTATATTATTAAAGTCTGAAATCTAAAGGAACTGTTTTGCTAATCAATGGAGAACATCAACTCAGCTTCTGGATTAATCATTACATATTGGAAATTGGTAGAACCTGAATTAATGAATCCAACTTTCTAAATGGCATATATGAGTAAAACCTGGACTTGATTAAGTATTCTTTATTTGTAATGATTTGTTTATTTTTATTTTACATTCATTGGTGTTTTGTCTGCATGTATGTCTGTGTGAGGGTGTCATATCTCCTGGAACTGGAGCTACAGACAGTTGTGAGCTGCCATGTGGGTGGTAGGAATGAACCCAGGTCCTCTGGAAGTGTAGCCAGTGCTCTTAATGACTGAGCCATCTCTCCAGCCCCTTTAACTAAGCATTCTTGTGATAACTAAAGTTGATATTGTCTTCTAGGCAAATACAGTCTCCGTACATGCAATTACTAACGTTATGGGGGTAGGGGGGTGTTGCCCTACTATACATAAACATCTTAATTGCCTTCTGCATATCACTAACATAAAACTTCTACGAGATTCAAACTGTTTCTCTGGATTAAGCACTTTCACAAACCAACTTTCAGAGATTACAATTGCCTTTAAGGAAAAGCAAGTTTGCTCCCAAAAGAAAATCCAAAGGAGAGTCAGGGTCTTCATAAGCTACCATTCGACTGTAATTGGACGGTTCAATTTGAGTGTTTATGGCGTTGTTTATGCGCCTCGCTGATTTACTCTTGATGCCAACAGGCATGCAAGGAGGGGGAAGGGTGGCACACTGGTACAGTCTCAACTTTGTTGTGCTTCCCTCTCCCACCATCTATCTTCTGGCTCTTTCCTGATTGAACACCGTGCCCACAATTTTAAAATCCAGCATGAGTGCATGCCCTCAGTTCTTCGTCCGTCCAGCTGACTTCGGGAGACTACAGAATGAGCCTCACATCCATTGCTGTTTGCCCCGTGCTTCTCTCCTGTCCCCGCTGCTCAGGGATGCCCAGCTTCCCACACTCCTCGAAGTTCTCATGGTTCTCTGCACTTCTTTGCCCGACTCCCTGACCTTCAACACCTTGAACCCTGGGGAGGTGGTTGCTGTCATTATTGCTGTTGTACAGTAAAGACATGTGCTTGGACTATGTTCAATTATTTCCCACTTCATAATTTTGGATTAGGCAAAGTCTAAAATGTAAATAGTGTTTGTCCTAGTTATATCAAATTCTTATCTAACACTACAATGAGAATTGTGTCAGCATGCTGATTACCAGGACCAGTACAAAGATAAAACTAAGTGGAAGCTGGCCCTGGTATTTTTTACACCTGAGTAAAGTAAAGATTTCTTTGTAATCTTAACATTGTGAGATGGACAGGAAGAAAAACACATACATTCCATGAATGTGTGGCTTCTCTAGGGCACGCTACTTTTGTCCATGTCCCCTTCCTTCACTGAGCAGCAGCCACAGAGATAGGGGATGTCTGCTTTCCTTTTCCACACTCTTAACTGTCAGAACTGAACTGAATGCCACACGAAAGTAAACAATTAGCAAATGGGTCTACCCTGTTCCTAAAGGGCTTCTATTCTTGAACTTTGAAAGAATTCTGACTTGCTTGGAGGTGTTTTCTGGATAATGCAAAAACTTAGTCCTAAGAGGGACTTGACCATCCTCAGACTCCCACTGTGTTATATTTGGATCTGTGGTTGCAATACAAATGGTATTAACAAGAATAATAATAGCTAGTATTTAGCAATACATTTTTAAGTGGCAGGCACCATTTCAGGTTCTTGCACACAGTGACTCATTTACTCCTGAAACTGCCCCTCTCTGGAGTAGATACTAAAATAACCCTGCCAACAAAAGAAAAAAAGAAACTGTGGTCAAATGCAATTAGGCAGTTTTTCCAGATTTATAGGGATTAAATTACATAGAAATACACCCTTCTAAAAAAACTAACATCAAATATGAGCAGATAGTCGTCATTCTGTTTTGCATATTGAGTTTTTCATTAGGTCTCAGCCTGTCAGATTGATACAGGAACTGGATTATAGCAACACTAACGTTACAGTGCACATGGAAACTGCCTAAATTTGCATCGCTTTAAAAGCTCATTACTAACTAAGAAAAAAAAATGAAATACTTGACATTTTGGTATCTGTGGTATTAAAAAAGAACTAATATTTAATATTCAAGTGGCAACAGCTTGTAGAGTTTGCATACAACGCCCACAGGGATGAATTTTTCTTTAAAATGGCCTTTAGGAGTCAGCTTTCAGCAGCTGACACCTCCATTCTCTCCAGCCCTCTCTCCTGCCAGCACCACGGGGCACACACAGAGCAGAGCAGTAATTCTTCACTGCAGGATTTGTCTTCTCAAATAATGGCGAATGTGGGAAATTAAGAAAAATGTAATTTTCACTGAATCAACCTCAGCGTAATCTCTATTTCTAAAAATGAATAAGCATCTCTGGAGAGCTTTTCTCCACATGCTCTCTCAGTCCCTTCCCTGCTCCAACCAAGAAGAGAAGGAAGAATCATCCCTGCCTAACGGATCCTCGGACGACCCACACCTGTGCTGAGGCTAAGGCCTGAGGAGTATACTGTGGCCTGGCATTTCTCCAACTTGACTAACAGTCACAGTGCAGACTCTGTCACCTGTGGAACTTTCAACTTCCCCAGTCTGCTGTCAAGAAGATGCATAATAATCAAATAAAATTTTGAAAATGCTGAATATGATGAAATATTTTTCCTTTCCAATAGAATTGCCATGTTAAATGTCTATAATTACTCAAGGCTGGGGTGAAGAAAACAACAACACAAAGTTAAAATCCTTATCAGCTATATACATTTGTGTGATAGGATACCAGTGGTCAAGTGGAAACAAAAATACTGGACCAATTACCGATGATGTTTATCTGTATAGTTTTAAGAGGATTCTCCCACCCAATAACCATCATGTTCTCATCACCAAGTTCTTGTAGTTATTGGTGCATTATTCAAGAAAATATTCGAATAGTGTGATAAGTGTGTTATCTGTTGGATTCATTGGATTCTTTTTTTCAAGGAATGTAGGCCAGTTGTGGTGGGGCAGGAATGTAATGCCAGCACCCTTTGGAGGCCGAGGCAGAAGGAGAGTGTAGGGAGGAGATGTGGCATGTCTGACTTTAATTGCATACGCCATTGAATCAAACTGGACATCTTTGCCAAGAGTCTGGCTCCACGATTTTTTAAATAATAGTTTGCGTTCTTGAAAATTAATAATTGCCATGGAAAATAATTACCCACATTGTTTAATAGTTGACTTTTCTGAAAATTGCACAGTCAGTGGTCCTTGCTGTGATACTGGGATATGTTTAATGCATTTGTGAAAATCAAAACTATTTGAACAATTTGATTGCTGATAACGCAAGTGAAATTTAGAGATCCAATTCAAGGATTTCCTAAGGAAGTTGAAATATTACTTACTTATTTCTTACAAGTTTATTCTGTATGGAAGATGATCTACCATAGCCATCCTTTTGGTTTCAAATGAGAGAGTTCCCTAAGTATATCACAAACAGAAGTAAAATGGTAAACAGCAAGTACTTGATAGGTAGAAAGAGCAGATAGAAATCAAAGCATCATCAAATCAGGAACTCACAGCATCCAGCAAAGATGACTTGAGTAGCCTGATGGAGAAAGCAAATGCAAGCCCATCAAATCATGGTTAATAAAATCCAGCCAAAAAATGATTGGAGATGTTGAGACAATCAGCTGGAGTTCCAGTTGAGCTTTCTCTCCATGGATGAGCTTCCCATGGCTCAACATCCAACTTCCTGTTTCCACTGTGGGCATTTTCCTGACATGGGACAGACAATAGTCACCTCAGGTGGAGATGGCTTGCCTTTCTCTAAGACACAATGTTTTTTGTTTTTTGTTTTTTTTACTCTTGGGCTGCTTTTCTGGTTTCTTTCCTCCCTGCCACAGCGTTAAGGGAGCAGCCTATCCCCAGACAAGAGATCTTCAGTGACCTTCTGAGACAACTAAATTTCTAAAGCCCATTTCTCAATGAGCTCAAATAGCATATTACAATTTACCAACATAAAGCACATTACAGGGTTCTTAAATATAAATTCTCTCTATATTTTTATAGTGTAAATAGGTCTCATGGCACAATGGGGTGGAGTGGGGAAGGGAGGGTCAAGTTTACAAAGCTTTGGGATTAAATATAAGCTTACTATCACCATTGCAAAAAAAAAAAATATCACTTCAGAAACTTCCCTCTGCAAATCTGCATTTTGAAGAGATGGCGTATGGTGTTTTCCAACCTTATTTGACCCGGCTGATCCATCATAGCACATCTCCTCAGCCAAGAGTCTGCAGAGAGAGGTCTGCCTCGACTCATGCTTGGCACATCACAGGTGCTCAGTATATTCCAGTGAAATTTCAAAATGATCCACTTTCAATTGAATTGAAATTATCTGTGGTATTCTTCGCCTTGGACTTGCTCGTGGAGATAAATATGCAAATAGAATCAGAAACACACACAGTCGTTGCTTCTAACCAGATCTCAGCCCACATATTCCAAAGCAAACGAGTAGTGAAATGATCCATCGTGGTGTGTTGAACTCTAGCAAAGCTATTACTTAAAGTCGGATTTGTAAGAGATATAAAAGGAAAAGCAGAAAGAGCATTTCCTGCTGGGTATGTGCCTCCCCTTCCGCATATCGCATTCTGTGTACCTAAAAGACAGTTTTCCTTGGTTCAAAATTGATAGCCAACTTTGTTTGTTGTTATTTTGCTATTCAAATGTCTGTGCTTTTTCCTGCCTATTTGCTCTAACACTGAATTTTAAGCTTCTCTAAAACCACTTGATATGTTATTATTCTTTCCAGATACCTTCTGAGAGCCAAGCAAAGTACATTAAGAACGAAAGGAGGAATGAGCTTGGATCCAGTGCAGTGAAAAGAGACACGCTCAGGAAGGGGGAACTCACCACCCAGAGACTCAAGAGCCTGCCTTGCCATCAGCATGAGAACTTACCTGTGCTTCTTGCTGCTCTTTTGGGTCGGCCAGCCCTACTCAACTCTCTCAAGCCCATTATCTAAAAGGACTAGTGGCTTCCCAGCGAAGAGGAGGGCCCTGGAGCTCCCTGCAAACAGCAGGCATGAGCTGAGCCGTTCGAAAAGGAGTTGGATGTGGAATCAGTTCTTCCTCCTGGAGGAATACACAGGATCCGATTATCAGTATGTGGGCAAGGTAGGATTCCTTTGGGTGCTTTGACAGTCTAAGCTTAAGAGCCTGAAGAAGTTACTGCTGAGAAATAGACAGGGAGGGAGTAAACTATTCCCCAATACAGTATGAATTGTTGCTTATCTGGTAAGACTTTTTTTCTCCTCGCTTGAATAGTTGCGGGATGAAAGTGTAGCAAGAAGCTGAGAAATATTAGCTGTGCAACACAGAGAGAATGCTCCAGTGGAAAACGAGCCTCCCACAACCATCCACAGAGGATTATCATAAATCCTTTAATTTTTTTTTTACTTTAGCTGGAAAAATGGGGTCCAGCTATTCTGTAAAGTAGGGTCTATTAAAAATAGAAATAGAGTGATTATGCTGTGAGGAGAGCAAGTCCTTTTTCTCCATATGAAAGCAAACATTCCGAACCTGAGTCACTTTAACTGTTTCTTACCTCTGCTTCTCCCTACACCCTTGGCTCTCAGAATCGAAGTCGCCTTTTCTGGGCCAAACTCAGCCCCAGAGGTTAGCTATAGTAGTTACTATTACTGCAAGTGGGAGTGGTTGGTCTTATCCCAGATAACTGGCCAGAACCAAGCATCTTAAATTCTTAGGATGCAACTGTAGCAAGGCTGATGAAAGATTCATGTTACACAAAGGTGCTATTTCTAGGAAACTGTGTCTGACCATTTTATTGACTAGAAAGTAGATTGAGGAGTGAGGTCCTGGAACTCACTCCGAGAGGCAGCATCCCTTCAATTGTCACGATAAGGAAGTGTCACCTACTCATGTCATCAGCTATCTCACTGAGGAAAATTTAACCTGGGCAAAGATGTAAAAGACAAGCCAGGGCAGCCAGTACGTAGCTTGTAGATTCTGCATTTCATTAGGTGGTATGGATAAGAAAATAATTGTCCCACATCTCTGAAACTGAGAATGAACATAAAAATATAGATGATAAAGTGCCCTTGCCTATGATTGATTTTAAAACACCTTCATCAGGATATCATGCAAATAGCATAAATTTTGCAGATTCCTAAGGCTGCATGTTCACATTTCAATCTGTGATCAAATATCCCTGAATAACTCTGAGCAAATATTCTCCTTAAGTATTTACCACTATAAATGAGGGAGGCTTAGGCTGAGGTAGCCAGGCAATGTTCCAGTGCAGTGAATTATTAATGTGGAATAAAGTCAGAGAGAAAATACCCCGAGACCTGGTGAACAGCAACAGTGATGCCCCAAGGATCTTGTCACCAATTTGCTTTGCAACTCACACCTGCTGAGACCACGGAGGAAAGAATGTTCCCTTGCTTGTACTTCATTTCCTCTGTGCAACTTGATGCCACTGTGTTAATAGAGTAATAGGGTTTTTTTTTTTTTAATCTTTAAAGCACTTTCACAATGCAAATAGCATTATTACCATAGAAGATTAAGCTTTAAAAAGCACCTTGTCAAAATGATTGAAATCCCCTCCCCTGCTTTTTTTTTTTTCTTCCCCAATTGTGATACCATCTCATCTCGATAATACCGCAGTTTCTTGAAGTCCGGGATGGTAGCAGCAGCAATAGGAAAAAAACGCACAAGAATGCGTTTTACAGTTATAATTGTGATCGGGAAAACAGCCACGGGGGAAAGCTACAAGCTATGGATGTACATGACCAAAGCTGCGGCACTAAACTGCCAGCCGCCATGACCCTGAATGGGTAAATGAGCCTTCCAGGCTTTGCTTTCTTTTGCCTGGGAAGTGCGGGCAGCTGTGCCCCCCAGAAGGAGTCGCAGGGAAACACCAGTGAGACGGTCTCTATTGGCCAAGACAGGAATCTTCAAGTTTCTAAAATTGTTGGGAACCTCATTGTCCATGCCCTACTAAGTCTATGTACAATGAAGTGAAGTCGGACGTTAGGTGTTAGAACATTGCAAAAAGCAAAGTAAGGTCACTAGCAAATCTCAGTGGCCGAAAAAACGTGGCAATTAATGGTGAAATCCCTTCACAACCATGGTGGCTTTCCCCACACTCATTGGATCTGGACGTCTATTGGCAGCAAAATACAAGATCCCTTCCTCACCCATCACTGTCTTCTGCCCTTTTCTGTTGGCCCCTGCTCCGCCTTGAAGTCATAGCACTCAAGGGAATATTAGCTGGAGAGGAAAAATACCAAAGGTAGGAACTGAAGTCCTTCCAGCCAACGCTGCTGCCAGGGACCTAAGAGTCGTTGTTCTCGAACTGTTGAGATGGCGGCTTCCCAAGTCTATCTGCAGTAATGTGATACCAACCGACACAGGGTTTCTTATTCTAATGAAAAGTAGAAGGAAATAAGAAGAAATTTTACAAAAAGAAAGAGGGAAAGCTGGGGAGGTAGCTCAGTGGTAGAACACTTGCCTAACATGTCAAGGTCCCAGGTTCAATCCCACTCCTGCTCCCCACCCCACCCCACCCCACCCCCCAAAAAAAACTCCAAAAGAAAGTAAAAGAAGGGGAGAAGCAGGAGGGACCTTCAGCGTGACAACCTTTAACTTCAACTAACTAGGAAGAAAAGACAGCTGATGAAACTATTCCAGACTAATTGTGTCTGGAAACCTTAGAGAAAAAGACACTGGACTAAGGCAGAGATTCCAACGTTCTCTCAGGTCACAGGGCTGTTTCTCAGGCTGCCCTTGGACAGAAACAAAAATCTAATGGTCTCATGTAGTAAACAGAATAAAACGACTCAGTAAGAATTTCTCTTCTAACAGCTCAGTAACCCTTTGAAAAGATAAAACATGCAAGTTAACAAAAACTAACATTTTTACGTCATTCTTGATCACAGTCACTTAGATGGTTTTGAACACCTCAAACAGATGGGATTCCACTCCCTAGTCACCCTTTCTACCCTGACATTTGCACTGTAGACGCTTCTGGTCACAGCCATTAAGAGGAATCTGGCACTCAGTATGACATCATCAAAAGGAATAGAGTGCCACCTTCTGTAAAATCTCTGAACTACCTTGAGCTAGTAATGGCAGATTGGTGGGCAGAGGTCAGAAGTGGCTGTATGGCCTTGACGTTTTCCCATCTCTCCTGCTGAGGGCCCTGCAGCACCCAGGCTGCCTCAGTGTGTGCTCCAGTTAAGCTGGTGTGTGAACCCACACAAAGGCCCTAAGACAACCTTTAAAGGTGTCATCGGTGCTGCAAACAGGAATCCCTCAGAGCCTAGCATGGATTGGCCTAAAACTGAAGAGATGGATCCAATCTACACGTGGAAGGACAGAAGCACTTACTGAGGAAAAATCATGGACTCGAACAAACAGTACTTAAGAGCCAACAGAAAAGATTTCCCCTTATAGACATCTGCCTGTATTTGTGGTGGCCTGTTCAAAGGGGGTCAGAGGGACGGTGGGGAAGGAATGAAAATGTGAGGATCAAAGTGGAGAGTGAAGGGGTAAGGGGTACATGTGGTGATATTGTGTTCCCCAATATATTGTGCACCCTAATAAACTTATCTGGGGTCAGAGGACAGAACAACCACTAGATATAGAGGCCAGAAAATGGTAGCACACACTCCTTTAATCCTAGCATTCCAGAGACAGAGATCCAGACAGATCTCTGTGAGTTCAAGGCCACACTGGAAACAGCCAGACATGGTAGCAAGAGCCTTTAATCCCAGGAAGTGATGGCAAGAAGCAGAAAGGTATATAAGGCGTGAGGACCAGGAACTAGAGTCCTGTTAAGCTTTTAGATGTTTGAGCAGCAGTTCAGCTGAGATCCATTTGGATGAGGACACAGAGGCTTCCAGTTTGAGGAAACGAGATCGGCTGAGAAGTTGGCGAGGTGAGGAAGCTGTGGCTTGTTCTGTCTCTCTGATCTTCCAGCATTCACCTCAATACCTGGTCTCAGGTTTGTTTTTATTAATAAGACCTTCTAACAATTCATGCTTACAGGTGCATAAGATTACAAGAGCCAGGAAGGAAAGAGACCAAGGCTGGGGCAGTAATGAAGGGAACCGAGAGATAGATCTGTAATGGGAGGCAAAGGAGCAGCAGTGAGTGACCTTTGCCCTCTTGTCCTCATGTTCTCCAGCCTTCTGCTGTATTCTGTTCCGGATGAGATTAACATAAACACAGGAGGAAGGCAGAGCTGGAATGCACTGATGGGAAAACCTAAAATCATGGTGGCAGATAGAGCTAGCAGGTTATGAAGGAAGAGTCCTAGGTGCAGTAACAATTTGTGAGCTTAAGATAAAAACATGTATCCAGGTGTAAGTAAGATTTGCGGGGAGAGGGGACAGTCTTGAGGTGCTTCAGCAAAGTAGCATGCATCAGACCTTGGGAAGGCACATTCTCAGGCTCTACCTAGTTCTCACTGGGTTAGAATATGCAGTTTGAGGAGGTCCCCGGGGCGAGCAGTTTGCAAACTAAAAGTTTGAGAATCGCTACTTTTAAAGATGCCCTGTACGGGTCTCTCCTCCCTGGAGATTCTGAATTAGTTGGCTTTTAATTAAGTACTAATGATTCTGACATGTTGTCAATTCCCAGAATCACAGCCCTAGGGGACACAACTGTCAGTCATGATAGCAAAAGCGTCGAGTTCAGTGATAAAGTCACATCCACAAAGGGTTGTGGGAAAATAAAGGACAGAGGGCAGCCAGGCTTTGAGGTTAGGCAAAACCCCCGAGAGAAGGTGAGAGTGTCTGAACCCCATATTCAAGGTAGAGCAGGAGTTAGCGCTCAGTGAAGAGAGAGAGTTGCCTGGCCCTCCCAGGTAATTGCCGGTAGACACAAAAAGGTCAAAAGTCAGAAGTCCGACGAGTCCAAACTTTAGAGATTTGACAACCGAGAACGGGAAGTGGCCCGGATGACCCAGAAAACACAAAGTGCGTGCTTTTTGTTAGAGGGGAAGGGAGTGTGTTTGACTTCCTTCAACATCCACTTGGATGATTTCTGGCTTACGTAAACTTAATAGAAAATGGGGAAGAAAGCGTTTGATTCCTCCTTCCTAGAAATCTCCATGCCCCGGGGCTGGCTTCACAGGATCGAGCATTTCC